AAGAATGAAATTAGAACATTCTCTAACACCATATACAAAAATAAACTCAAAGTGGATTACAGACCTAAATGTAAGACCAGATACTATAAAACTCCTAGAGGAAAACCTAGGCAGAACATTCTTTGACAGAAATCATAGCAATATTTTTTGGATCTGTTTCCTACAGTAAAGGAAATAAAAGCAAAAATAAACAAATGGGACCTAATGAAACTTAAAAGCTTTTGAACAGCAAAGGAAACCATTGACAAAACAAAAGGACAATCTACTGAATAGAAGAAAATATTTGCAAATGATACAACCAATAAGGGATTAGTATACAACATATATAAATGGCTCATACAGCTCAACATCAAAACAAACAAACAAAAAAACCTGATTGAAAAATGGGCAAAAGAACTGAATAGACATTTTTCCAAATGTAATTTCTTTTATAGCACCACTTAATTGTTATTATTTAAACTATTATTTAATAAATGTAACATTTGTAAATGGATAATGTATATTAATTTTTCCCTATTTCAAGGCTCCATAACTTGAATAGTCTGAATATCTTGGTTAAGCCCACCATAAGGTGCCTTTGCCCCTCTCATTACAAATACTCAAATTGAAAACTTAGTGTCTAAAGGAGATTATCCCCAAGTGCATTTCAAATTCATTCCTATTCCAATATAAAGAAGGAAAAGTTGATTTAAAGTAATCAGTGTGGCACAACATAAACATTAATTATTTCCAGAATATTCTGCATGTTAATTCAGGTCATCCAGTTGAACTCAGATGTTATCCACTCCTCCTATGAGTTGAGTTCTCATCTACTGCCTGCACCCAAAGACAGTCAAATCCTATCGCCAGCATATTCAGTCCCACAAAGAGCTAGGGAACTAACCTTAGGATGCTGGTTTCTGTGGAAGACTGGACACAAACCATAGTCACCTTTGTTCACATGTAGCCATCACATGCATGATCATTTATTCCCACAGTGCTTTGTCATCAACCTTTTCCACACTGCTTCATTGTCTTAGGCAGAGAAACTTGTAAAACATCACTGAATGGTGGCACTCCCCACTTAAGGATGATTCCATTTTGAGGAGAAAATACTGCTCAACACCACTTTAGTGCTAAACATCAGCAAATCTTCTAATTGGCGTCAACTGTCTTTTCCCTTCCTTTCTCCTTATTCCCTCAGCCCCCTTTATCACTATCCACTAAGAGACCCCACTTCAATTCTGCGTCAGGCTCTGCTTCACGCTCTCCTTTGGTATAATTCCGTGTATTACCACTTGCATCATCCTCACCTTAGCAACTCGTCCCAGACACATTCCAAACTTAGAATATTCTCTTCTTTCTTAGGAAAACTCCCTTGTCCTAGGTTGCCACATTCCATGCTACTTTAGAAAAATTAGCATATGCTACTACATTAATATGTACAAATAACATTACCTACCCTGCCCACAAAGTGACAGCTTAACATTTAGGATTATAATTACCCAAAGGTGAACTACTACTGCTGGAAAATTTCAGGTAAATTTGTAGGAAGGTAATCATTTCAGACAGCTGACTGTCTTTGAATGTTCTTCAAATCCCTTAAGTGTTTGCTGATGTACTAGAAATAACATACAATACTCCACCAAAGGCTGATGGTCTGTTTGTCATACAAACAGGTAACCAACATGTTTTGTACCCCTCCAGTGCTCTTTCCC